AATCAAGATCAATCAACTAATATGAAGAACGATGTTTGAAACGTCAAAGTAACGGCGTAGGAGGAGCGATACTTTACCAAAGTGGAAGGAAGAAGAAGAAAAAAAAAAGGTGGAAAAGATGGAAAGATAGAGGGCGGAGTAAGATGGACACTTCACCAATGATGAACTAGAGAAAAGTCATTTTGTCTTTTCTCTAGTTCATCATTGGTAAAGCAAAGCAAAACGGAAGAAACGAGAGATGGCGGAGTAGAAATCGCAAGTGCAGAAATGAAGAGGAGGAGAAATATGTCAAAGAGAAGAGGAATAGATACAACGGAAGGATGGAGAGTGTCAGCAGGTTGTGAAGGGCACAGAATGACTAAAGGAACCAGGAAGAGGCTAATAGTAGATCACTGCTCCATTCTTACGTATTTTACACGCGCGCAGGCGTGAATGTAGGCGTTCTTATATTACACCATTGCAACGACAAGGAGTGCTTCTATTCTGTTGCATCCGAATGACAAGGATAGGAAAGCAGTGCATAGAGTATGAGCTGGTGTGCGTCTTCTCGTACACGCTAGAGCAGTATTGAGAGAAAGATAAAAAGAGGGGAGTAGAAGAGGGAGCGAGAAAGTGGGATTGCAAAAAGGAGACAGGGCGAGTCAGGACAGAAGGATAGGGGTGAGAAAGAAAGAGAGAGACAGGAGGACGGTACGGGAGAATCGTGCTCCAATAAAACGGACGGAGACCGGAGAGTGTGCTCTTATCGCCTTGTGCATGTGCACTGGCGGAACATGTAAACCACAGCGTGTATAAGCGAAGACGTGCAACATACATGTGAAACTATACACATGCGTAATCGCTCGTATGTTACACAAAGAAGGAGAGAGAGAGAGAGAGAGAAAGAGAGAGAGAAAGAGAGAGAAAGAGCTATATCTCACCAATAAGACCTAGGCAAGAGAGCTATTTGTAATGCAATAGTGAGAGCACTAGTGGGGAAAGGAAGAGTGGAGGAAGGTAGTGGTAGGTGGAGGAGAACTACTGGTGGGGGAGAAAGAGCAAGTAAGGGAGAACGGGAGATAGATAGATACGTAAAGAGAGAAAGAAAGAGACAGAGGTAGAGAGATGAAAAGAGGAGAGGTGAAGCAAGGGTGCGCGAACAAGAGAGAGAAAGGGAGGGAGAGAGAAAGAGAGAGAGAGAGAGAGAGAGAGAGAGAGAGGCAGAGGAAAGGTGCCACTCAACATAGAGCCAATACCATGATCGCTTTACAAATAAACTCACGGACTCGCAAAACCTCTTCCTCGATGCAGAATATAACGTCGGGAGCAAAGAGAAACGCGCTTTTCGGACCCTCAACCCTTTCTGGGGTCTCGTAAATCTATGGGGCCCACACCTGGCCTCTTCTTTGCCACTACCACCCGCCACTATTACAGCTACTGCTGCGCTATCACCATCGTCGTCACCATGACCACCACTACCGCCGCTGTTCGCCGTCGTGGTTGTACTCATTCGATACACGTTAGAGTATCGCTGATGTACCACCACTACAACGAATGAGTAACCACCACTACCGTCGCCACCTCCTGCTAACCAACTCTACCTCTCTTCGCGCTTACCTAGGACAGAGAAAGAGAGAGCGCGCGCGAGAGAGGGAGAGTGAGAGCGGGAGAGTGAGTGAGTGAGTGAGTGAGTGAGAGAGAGAGAGAGAGAGAGGGAGAGAGAGAGAAAGAGAGAGGTAGAGAGTGAGAGAGGGTCCCGGCTTTGCGCAAAAGTTACGACGGAGCGAGGAGCAGTGAGACACATCGCGGAGACCGGAAGAGAACCCTCTCTCCCTGAAGAAGTCCTCCGATGTAAAGAAAGAGAAAGAAAAAGAGAGAGAGAGAGAAAGAGAGAGAGGGGGAATAAAAGAGGGAGAGAAGATAAAACAAGAAGAAAGAGAGGGAGAGAAAGATAGACAGACAAAGAGAGAGAGAGAGAGGGAGAGAGAGAAAGAGAGAGTCAGAGAACACGCGCGAAAAACATACGTCGACTCCAATCGAGAGTGTCACCGCTTGTGCGCGCGGGAGTGCGATACGGACCATCACGAGGAAAACTAACAACGTCGTTAAGTGTCCTCTTCGTTGTTCGCCGCGTGTTCACATTGTGAGGACACGTGGTAACCATATCAATACTCCAATTAACGGATATTCTATCGGGAGTGCACCAATTCGCGATTGGATCTCCTATGATTACCTGAAGCCTCAAGTGATCTCGTTGCAAAAGGCAAATTTTCACGATTGTGCATTGATATATTATCAATTGTTGTACTAGTGACGAATTCGGAAGACGATAGATGTACTTCTTGTAGTGACAAATGCTTCGCCTTCAGGTGTCATCATCATTTTCCGTAGATATAAGATAAAAAAGAATTTTAAAGAATAGAGTAACTTTGTTCCACTGAGAATTTTATTCTTTGGAAATTCGTTGTGACCGGAAAGTAAATATAAGGAAGTGGAGAGAATAAAAAAAAAATAAGAAGGAGAAGAAAAAGAGGGAAAAGAAGAAATTGAGAGAAGAAGCCTCGAAACTGAGACCAGAACTAGCTGCACGTTCGCCACTTACGTACCAGCAAGAGCGGGCCGCGTTGTGTAAGAGCTGAAAGTAAAAGTTGAAACCGTCGACTTCAACTCACGGGAGCGCGTATTGCGCGCGTTAAAATTCGATCTTGCCTCCTGTAGGCTGGGTACCACCGAATATCTCTTGCCTCTCTCTTTCTCTGCCAGTCTTTCTCCGGTGACTTTCCCATTTTGTTCTACCTCCTGAAGAGAGCAAGAAAGAGAGAGAGGGAGAGGGGGAGAGGGAGGGGGAGAGAGAAAGAGAGAGAGAGAGAGAGAGAGAGATACGAAAACAGTGAGAGTGTGTATTCGTGCGTGCATCCAGATTCGCATGATCGCGGATCCCCCTCCGGCGCCCTTGACGAGAAGTTTCGCCGATGCGGAGGATCTACGTGTTCCGGAGAAGTCGAAGAGGGCGTGCTAGGGATAGAATAAGGAGAGAGAAGAGAAGAGGAACGGTGCTCCGTTCATTGCGTAACTACGTTTTCTAGTCCGCTACTTCGCGAAATACACTCGCGCGTGGTATTTCGTTCGCACGCTCGCGTTTGCGGAGGTGTATCAGCCCGTGCGAAGGTAATCACGAGATTTTCATCATCGGATAGCTGGATCGCGAAAACGCGAGTGATCGCGCCAGCTCGGTCGCGAGCGACTCGGCGCTGACAACGAGAAAGAACGATGGAAAGTGATCGGTCCCGGGCGCGTTTCACTCCGTCCAGCGCGAAATGCGAATGTTCAAGGTCACAGTCGTTGGTATCCCACCGGTAATTCATTTCCGGAGTTGCTAGAGAGAGCTTCATCGTCGTCATCATCGTCGTCGTCGTCGTCGTCAACGTCGTCAACATTATCATTATCATCATCATTATCATCAAGTGGCATCCCGGTAGCGCACCACCACCGTGGAAGGACTCGACGTGCGGTATTCGCGTGCGAATTTAACCTGTCTCTCTCTCTCTCTCTCCCTCAGTTCACGATCGACAGCGCGCTCGCTTTTACCTCGCCGCCTCGTCCGGGCGCAAGAAGTTTCGCAAAAGGGATTACAACACGCAGAAGAGAAAGGAGACAGACAGACGGAAAGGGAGACGCGGAAGGGAAAAGGACAGCGAAGAAAGAGAGAGAGACAGTTCGAGACGGAGAGGGAGAAAAGGGGGAGAAACAGGAGAAGAAGGAGGAGGAGGAGGAGAGGAGAGGAGTACGAGACCGCGATACGACAACCGCGCGCGCGAAAACCGCAGGAGGAGGACGCGGATTTCTCGCCGCCGCGCGGAGGACAAGAGTCCTCGCGACCGTCGCGCGGTTCGACGACGAGGACAAGGAAGACGTCGACGAGCGAGCCGGGAGAAGGCTCGCTCTCTCTCGGTACGAGAAGAAAGAGGCGGAGGACAGACCGCGAGAGATAGCGAAGGACGAGTCTGAAAGACGATCCGGATGTGGCGAGATCTACTCGCTTTCCGTTCTCCCGCCGCTCTTCTGCCGGTGCGTCACGCCGCACGGCGACGACAAAGTTGAATTTACGAAGGAGACGCGGAGAGCGAGAAATTTGATATAATCCGCCGACGAAAAAGCGCGAACACGGGGAGCCGCACCGCGGCGGCGTTCGCTGGGGACACGCGGTCGAGCGGAATTAAAAGTGCGTTTAAAAAGGTTAGCGGGATAAAAAAGGCGCGCGCGCGAAAGGATAAGAGAAAGGAATAGGAGCCACCTCCGAGTCCTTGAGAGTACCCAACGGGTAAAAGTGCCGCGCGCAGAGCCAGCCGGTTGACCCTGGGCAGTCAACGGAGCAGACCCCGTTGAGGAGAGAGAAAAAAGAGAAAAGTTCTCCGTCATCATCGTCATCGTCGTCGTCGTCGTCGTCGTCGTCGTCGCCCTTTACCGTCACCGTCGCGGTGACGTCGTCAAGGATCGTTCCGTTCCGGGCTGACGAGAATCTCTCTCTCTCTCCACGGCGAATTTCCGACTCGGCGAGTCGAGTTCAGATGATCTAAATCGAGGAAGCGCGGATTGTACGTAGTGTGTGCGTGCACAATACACGCGTTGCGCGCGTGCATGCGTGCGTGCGCTGCGAGCACAGAGAACCACGTGTGTGACATCGCGCAAGCGAGCGCGAACAGAAAAGCAGCGAGACGAAACGCGATGACGGGGAGGATCGTAAAAAACGGCTGATTGCGAGCAATCAACGACGACATCCTCGAAGACGGTGCATCTTCCTGTTTTCGATCGATAGCCGCCGCCGCCGCCGCCGCCGCCGCCGCCGCCGCCGCCGCCGCCGCCGCCGCCGCCGCCGCCGCCGCCGCCGCCGCCGCCGCCGCCGCCGCCGCCGCCGCCGCCGCCGCCGCCGCCGCCGCCGCCGCCGCCGCCGCCGCCGCCGCCGCCGCCGCCGCCGCCGCCGCCGCCGCCGCCGCCGCCGCCGCCGCCGCCGCCGCCGCCGCCGCCGCCGCCGCCGCCGCCGATTTTCGTTCCTTTCCACGCACGCAACTCGGCTGAGACCGGTGTGCAGTTGCGCGAGGAACCCGTCCACGAGTGTTAAAGTGATTATACAAGGTGCCGGGTATATTATCTCCCGCGCGAGTTTGCCGCGAGCGTGCCGTCTCGTCCACGTTTCTTTACTGATCTGTTTCTCTCGTGTCTAGTGATTGTGAGATCCGCACCGCGAAATATCAATGTACGTCACGTGCTCGCAGCGTCGTCCACCTCGCCGATGTCACGGGATCTCGGCTGGTCGTTGCCGGCTCGCGAAGAGAATGTTTTTCACGTGACTCGACGAGATAATCCCGTGGGATTACATACTACCGGTTGCTCACTCTGGATACCGATCGCACATTAGGCAACGAGTGCAGTAGTAGAAAAAGCACAAGGTGAGGAAAATGAATACGTGACTCTGTACCTCTCTCGAAATTCTTTCGAGTGAAATCCCACCCTAAAGAGTGAAAATTGGGCCAGTCTTGAAATGGAATGTGACTTCATTTTTCAATCTTTAAAAGTGAAATGACACACTCTTCAGCGTGAAATTTACCCCGAAAGTTTTAGAGAGTAATTTAAAGGTCGTCGATTTCGATTCGACTCGATATTACGCTCTTTCTTCCCGGAAATCTCTGTTCTCGCGGAGATCACCCGCGAAACGACTGACGCATCTCTTTCGTCGATTGCCAATTAATTACGCGATCAAGGCGATCGCTGCCGGTATATCAGTAGTCCGATGCAAAACGTGATTTAGAGATTAACTCGTTCATTGTCGCATGCAACGTGCGACACGTTTGTTTCTCAGTGATATATTCTAGGTTTATGCTGGCGGCCGAACCTGGCGTGAATAATCGACAGGTGCTACAAATGCTTACCGATAAGCGCAGATAAAAAGCCTATAAGTTTGTTTTTCACGCCAGTTATGACTTGCTGACTATAATTGTGGCAAAGAATAAGTGTGTTCATTTTACCACGTTCAGTGAACGACAGTGAATATGTCGTCCTGGTATGTGGAACTCTACAGAGACACATTACTCCAAAATTGTTTACGCAAACAAAATAATTCCGATCCGATGATTCTGTACAATTGCCGATGCATAATATTCCGATAGTATATCGGTGCAGAGATTAATAAAATGGGGCAAAAAGGGAGGTGTGTATAATTGAGAAATAAATCGCGTTACGATATACCGAATTAAAATTACTTTTAACTCGATCTTTCTACATCGCTCCTCATTTCGATGGAGTTGTTCTCTTGCGGTGCTAGTTCGGCGCGTTCGAGCGAGGGTTAAGGATGATCGATGATGTAATGTTGACATAAGTGTTGGAAAATGTTTGCAGTCACTTTTACGGATATGATACGATAAAGTGAAAAGATACAGGTATTGATCTGTGACGATGATCGGAGTTAATCGCGCAAGAACGCGACGATTCTTCGGTATCTCCTTATCACTTTTCATTTTATTTATGGACAGACATGGATTTTCGTTTGTACATTACATGACGTAGCGTGGCGACCACCTAATCCTAATTATTTCACTTATCGCCAAGGCTTATGTCATTTTGTATCTAAATGAAACGGTGAAACTGCTAGCGATAATGAGGCAATTGTCGCGATTGTTAACTGACATTCCATGCGATTGGATGCAAGAGGCGGTGCAAATTAATGCGGCAACATAATTGGTAGTAAAAACGACCGCCTAACGTGTAACGAGAGACAGGTAGATAGATCGCAGCGAACAGCGCTGACAATGGGAAAATATGATCGGCGGAACCACGAAACGCAAATGACATAGTTATAGTCGCCTAAAAAAACTGTTCCAGTTTCCGTTTGAGAGACCACGCTAAATTATATAACGTACAGGAATATTATATGTTACATGTAATGTAACTAAACTCATTAAACAGTAACTACATCAAGCCGACGAAGCGTGAATTTTTATTGCTTATCACGCCAACAGCTATCTTTATTGTTTAATTAAATATATATATGTTTATTTTATTTCTAACATCTCACGGAGAAACTTTTTGCCGTCAGTGAAATATAATGAGTGTAATCGTAGAGAATCTTTCCAGTTGCGCAATTCGATGAAAAGACGCGAGAATTATTCAATTACATTAATAAGGTCGCGAAAAATTTTTTTATTAATATTTGTTTATTTCTGGTACTTTAATGTGTATTTGTTTTAAAGGCACTTTACGCAATAAATGTGTTTACGCCAAATACATGTTTGGCGAACAAACATGCTGTATCGACGCTTTTATCGCCGATGATTCATACGTACGGAAATTTTGAAAATGCTTGACTGCATTTCCAACCCCGCCGTTGCGATTATTTTAAAATTTTCTCAGGAGCGGGACAAAGCAGGGATGAAAGCAGGAAATACAGGAAACGAGTGAAACCGTCCCTGCAGCAAATAGAATACGTTAATAGGTTGTACGTCGTAATAGGTAGCTGTAAACTCTCCTGCGAGAGAGACGTAGGAGACGAAGGAAGGCAGGAGAACATCTTCTGAGCATATAATAATTCAAGTTCAGCGGCGCACCATGGTCGCTATACGGACGATTGTTGTGTAACCATTTCAAAAGAAAAAAGACAAAAAGGAGAAGAAGAAGAAGAAAAAAAAAGAAACGACGGGCCGCTCCTCTCGCAGCATCCAGTGTGGTCATCAATAGCGTGGAATGACGAATCAGAGAGAAAAAGCGATCTCTTGTCAAGGTCGCGTATCGAAAGGTGCCTCCGCGTTCGCCATTTCGCATTCATCTTGCCATTATCTCGCGGACGAGAGCTCGCACGGCGCGTTCTTACGTAGTCCACGAGCTGCACAGAGTGTGCATCGACGCGCGAATATATACCGCGAATACAATAATCACCACATCCCGGAGCTCCGAAAGGTGAACCAGTCGAAATTCCGTGTTCCCGCGACTTTTTACTCGCGCGTCACTCTCTTTTCTGGATACGACAATAATCGCGCCGCGAGAAAGTTTCTTTGGTAAGCAGCAGCTGATGCAAGTACTCCTTTATCTAAGTTACGCGTGAAAATTTCGTTTACCCAAATCCAGCACACACATCACTATATAAAAAAAATTTGCTTAACTATTATTATCCAAATTCTTTTCGACAAAATATAAGGAAATGGCACTTTCAAACGCTTATCTCTTATCAGATATTTTTCTATTTTTATTCATTCATTATTATTCCGGATTATTATCTCTTGGGAATTTTCTCTATTTTATTTCTTTATATAATTCATGTAATTATACAATTGTAACTTAAAAATAAGGAAAAAATAAACGGGCAATGAGAATCAAGCGCGGTAATATTAATTAATTCTTTTCTTCTTTAAATTATTTTACAATTTAAACGTTTCGGCTTTTTTG